CCTCAACAGAACGACCCCACACATCAAGTATAGGAAGGCATCGACAAAGACCGCGTTGACTGACAAACAGTCTGAAATGTCGTGTGGTGTTTGTGGATCTTGGGAGCTGATTGCCATCGTGGTAGATGTCATAGCTGTCGTCCATAAAAGCAATACACTTGTAATTTAGCATCTATTTTTCACATTGTGCATAAGTAACCGGACCACATGCATCATATAAATACTGCACTATCCTTTCCAGTGCTTGTATGAGCATTGGACCATCTGTGAAACACACATGGCTAAAGATTGCACACATGCAACGCTTTCCACACGCGAAGCCTTTTAGCGGAAGACGGCGAGCGCCAAATGAACAAACAAAATCGGAGGAGTCAGATTTTGACTGTGCTACTGAAATCATGAGGAAGAGGAGGAAAGAGTCAGATAACGGGAAGATGAGAGAGAGAGAGAGAGAGAGAGAGAGAGACTGAAATGGCGATGAATTTCTCTCACAATTGTACTTAACTCCAAATGTGAGTGAAAAGAAAAAAAATATTGAGATATATTTTTTCGGTTGATTAACTATAGTACATTGATTAAAAAGTTTTGGTTGAATTTACCCAGTTTTATTTCATCAAGTGGTAGCATGGAATAAAATCATCTGGATCCGGGTACTTTTTTTTTTTTTTTTTTGAAAGAAGACTGCTTGAAAAAGTAGGAAGTACACCTTTGTCAATGGAAGAAATAATTGAATGAAAACAGTGTCTGAATATCTCAGACTGACTTCGTAAGTGATTCCTGAAAATAGTTTGTCCCTCGTGTGGATGTGTTTGGAAGATACTGAGGAAGTAAGAGGGCTAAAGAACTTCACAAGATGGAAATAATCATTGTTTTCATCCTCTCCCAATCCCCTGCAGGAGGATGAAGAGATTATTATCAAATCTAGGGTGGAAATCTATTTTCTCAGCTGTTGCAGCATCAAAGAATGTTTTCGAACTGAGACTTGCGCATAGTGGGAAATTAATAGAACAAGGTTTTTTTTTTTTTGTAGAATAACACCAACTTGTTTTTGATCAGTTCATTATTTTATCATTTATTTTTCATTGATATTCTCACTGTTTCACGGCCTTCTTACATATTTCTCATCCAAACCCGTTGTTGTGCGTTTAAAGCCGAGCGGAGTAAGATCTAATTGCGCTGATAACTTTGAAGAAAGAGGACCCCCCCCTCCCAAAAAATAAAAAAAGCACACGCGCCGACACCCGAGCTACGGCCGCAACCGTTTGAGAAAAGCGGAGCGGCGCGAGCGCTCATCGCTTTGCAGTAAACACCTGTCACGGGCGATGATGAAAAGTGCCACTGCGGCTGAACAATAAAGGAAATAGAAAGCGGCGAGGATGAAATGCAATACAGTAAAGCAATAGATTGGCCCATGGAAATGGTCCTTTGGCTCCCCTGTGACTCATTCAATTGGTTGTGCCCTTGAACGCAAAAGCTCTTCTGGGGAATAACTTATGATGAGGTGGGTAATGCTATTAAAAGGAAAGAGGGGCGGACATTACACTGTTGGCCGTGTTTGTGGATGTGAGACGATGTAAATACCAATAGATTCAACCGCAAAGTCGGGATATCTGTTTGGTAATAGTGATAAAAAAAAATGTAAAAAAATCATACAATTCTCACGTGAACATCACTGCTTCCGCTATATCTTGTTGACATAAATTCATCCGGTAATTCTTTAAGATATGATTTGTGTCGTTGACGGGGCGAACCCAAGGGACATTACACTGTTGGCCGTGTTTGTGGATGTGAGACGATGTAAATACCAATAGATTCAACCGCAAAGTCGGGATATCTGTTTCGTAATAGTGATAAAAAAAATAAATAAATAAAATAAAAAAATCACACAATTCTCTCGTGAACATCACTGCTTCCGCTATATCTTGTTGACCTAAATTCATCCGGTAATTCTTTAAGATATGATTTGTGTCGATGACGGGGCGAACCCAAGGAAAGGCGCAATTTCAGTGTGCCAACATCGTTACACAAACATTCAATTGCTGAAGCTGATAAAAGATTTTATTGTTTGCCAAACATCAACTTATTTTCAACTTGACCAGGGCCTGCTAATTTAATCCTTGTCATGCCATTTAAATTAGTTTATGCTATTCAGATGCCTAGTGATCTGTCGATTATGCCCGTCGCCACGTAACATGAGACTCCAATCATGTACATGTAAAGCCATCTT